CTATGCTAGTGGCGGTGGAATTGTGGGTGAACAAAGTTCTGGGCAAGTGGTTTCCAGCGGGGAGGCCGAAGCCGGTGGTAGTGGGACCTCTGTCTTAACTAGTGATGCCGGTAAAAAACGCAAGAAACCTGCTGTTGCTTTGACTGGTAGCCCTGATGTCTCTGGCACTAATACCGGGGGTGGAGGCTCTGGATCGGGTGCAGGGTCGGCGACAGGCGCTTCCTCCTGGCGGACTAGTAAGGCATCGAAACAGCGCAGAGATTCGACCAGTGAGGAGGGTCAGAATGAGAGCTGACTGATCAGCACTGAAGCATAGGTAACTTAGATTCAACAGTTGATGATTTTTATGCTATTTTTAAGCTGTTACAACATGATATGTTTGTATTTTCCTTGCCCTGTAGACCTGCTGTGCAACATATGGCATATAATTACTTAAAATTGCTTGTTTATTTACACTAATTAATTAATTAGATCTTGTAAAACTTGTCCAGCCACCCAATAATTATCCTAAATATCTTCGGGGACTTATACAGTCATGTCGTATGTCCTCATAAATCCAGATATTTGGAAAGTGATACTCAACTCTAATAGGCAGCTGTGGTGGTCATTGTGAAAATTTTACACGAATTAAATATCTGCCAAATTTAATTCTCCATTTGAAAATTATCATTCCTTGACTAAAACAAGTTTATGGGACCGTTCTTTCAAAGTTATTTTGGACCACCTGGCGCTACCTGCTCTATTATCTAAGCCTAAAAACTCCCTTATGTTCAGATTCCTCTTATTTATGACTTAAATCATTTTTGACACCATATTGGTTGCACTTTTTCTTTCCTTTACTATGTGGATATTCAATAGAGACCTGAAAGAGCAATTGCATTCAATCCTTTTTTTCTACTCACTCTCTTCCGGACTTATTTAGGTATTTGGTAGACAGCATAAGCAGCCTATGCAACTGCGCCTACCCCTCTACAGCATCTTATATTCAGGTCTTATTTTATCCACCAACTCTCTTTGAGCACTCGCTTCTTGGCTAGAACTCCACTCAAAACGCTCCTGCATTTGCCCGCTTTATAAGCCTCTTCCACTTGTGGAATTACTAGCTAGTATGCACTGACAGGAAAAACGTCGCGAATGTATTAAGATCAACGATTTTTTTATTTTAAATGAAAGGTAGTGTCGAAATATAACGTAGAGAAAATTAGGTTGAATCAAGAGGCACCTTTTGACATCTATATTTTATGATAATTATTTGCTTTTAAATTCCCGTTGAAAAAAATAACGGAAGAATATTATTGCTTTTGTAAAGTCTGCTAGTTTTTAACATATAGATGAGGAAGGTTGCCATCCTAGATCTTTTGGGTAGCTAAAGGCTAGGAAAAGCAAAAAGGCTTCCACCAACTTGTTCTTCAAATGTCCTTCTTATTAAAAATGGACTGTTCTGCATTTCCTCATTCTGATAAATATCTACGAAATGGACCGGTCTTATATCGCAAGCGCTAAGTTATAGTTCGTTCACAGTCCGTTTTTGAAGGATTCACTTATTAATTTTGTTCCCAGGCCAGGCGTTTATTTATTTCACAAGTACCTTTTCGAGAGTACCAGTAGATCTGATACAAGAATTATATTCACCTTATTCCGTATAAGGTGATGATCGTAGTTGAATTTTCCCACAATTATATGAATAGGCCCCACTTTTTAATTGATTTTAACATAGCCTTGCTTCCTAGAAGGTATTATCATCCAAGATGAACTAGAGTTTGAATCTCGCTCAGGTCTCATTATAATTCCCAGCCGGACTCGAACCCTGGTAGTGCAGCGTATAATCTCGACACGCCAACCATTGCGTCACGCTGGGTCGCAGAACAGAAGTGAATTTCAAGGAAGCCTAGGTCTTTACCATATCACATTTCTGTTGTGGGCTTGTTGACGAAGTAAAGTTGTACATGCTATAGCATTCGACTACATTACTTTTTTTATTTTCGTGTTTCGTGACTCCTTACTAGCTTAGAAAAACCTTTATATTTACTTATATGCTTGTGTGATGCCACATCCTTGTTTCCAGGATAAATTTAAGTCAAAATATATTTCCTATATATTAATGTTCAAAAGCTAGACCCTTCATTTACTATGAAGAGTCCTTGTGGCCTCATCAAAAATCATCTTAGCTTAATTCTAAAGAAGATTTATTCACTCTGACGACACTTGTCACGGCTGGACAGACTGACGCTCCGCTAATATTTACTGTTTTTGGTAGACGAAAATCAGAGGACTCTTGTGCTAGATTTTACAATCAATCTTCCCTTGGCTTCCATTGCAATCAATTTACACATCTTTTCCATCCAACTTCTCATACGGAGTTTATGTGTACTCACGGTTATATTCTCATGATTTCAGTCTCTTCTGTGATAGCCTCTAGGCATGCATGACTATTCTCAATATTTGGACTGTCTGAGTCCATTTGCCTTCAAAACAGCCAGCAAGCCAGGGCGTCCCATCTCCCAATAATTAGAGGTTTTAGCCGTAATAAAGCACTAACCGAAATTATTTTTATCAAAAGATGTTCAACTTTTCTCTGATGTGGTCTGATATCAGGTTTTTTAATTCTCCTTAGCAGGCATCTATATCTCTTTTTTTTATTTTTCGCATTTATACTAAAAACATGGCCTGTATTAATCCTATGAGAATCTCAGAAACGCACTATGCTCCTTTACCTCTTAATGTTTTTTTCCTATACTCT